GGGGTCCCTCGAAAGGAGGGAAAGCCAGGCTGCCCTGGCCACGGCACCTCTGGCTGCCCTGGACATTGCTGAGGTGCCGAGGAGAGCCGCGGGGCCAGCAGAGCCCGTCCTTGCCCAGCTCCCAGTAGCGACCCACACCTCTGCAGAAGGAGCGTTTGCGTTACAGGGCCGGGACGGGAGGGACAAGTACAACAAAACAGTCCGGATTCCTGAGGACATCTTCTCTTCCAGCTGCTTTCTAAATATAGTGCATGGCAATGCATTACCCAGCACCGTATCCTCGCTCTGGCACTTAAAGAAATTCAAAGTCAAGCTAGAGAAAAAAAAAAAAAGAGAGATAAAGACAAGACAAATCTTAGAAAATCAAAATTTAAATTAGCATCGAGTATTTAAAATCTACATCTGCGTTAAGGTCACCCAAATAGCGAGAAGGACCGACTGCTCGTATTTTAAACCAGCTGTGTTTTCTGTGGAGACTGTTGTTTACCTCCTGGCCCATCGATAGCTTATTAATACAATTTAATTCTGCAGTTGTTTCTGTTTAAAGAGTGTTTGGAGCGAATTGTTTCTTTTGTTTATGATCAAAGAAACGAGGTCTGGTAATCTTATGTTTTATCTTCCTAACATATGGAAAAGCTATTTATCCCAGCCAATCACAATAAAGTGAAGAAAACCCCATTTTATGGAAAGGTATATATCACAAGTTTGTTCATCATTAAAGATATGATTACCAGTGAAAACCCTCCGAAAGTGGCACATTTATGATTCCAGGAACAGATGGGGACATCCATTTTCCTTGCAAATACTTTTGAAATTGCTCTACTGGTAGCAGTATAAAAATGATATACAGATGCCAGTGCCAACGAAGCCGGGACAAGAGGTCCAGATTTACACAGTAAAAGCTTCACATGCGCTCTGTCAGCTTTGATTGATCTGCGCCATACCTCAGAAACTTGTTGACTGGGAAAGGAAACAGCGCAAATAATTCACTGCAACAAGGCAGATAATTCACCCGGCCAATCGCTCCGCTCCGCTCCTCCGGGCGGTGACATACGAGTCCTCCTGCCGCACAAAGAAGCATCATTCTCCAGCGTGAACAGCGCTCCGTGTCACGGGGGGGGGGGGAAGGGGGAGAGAGAGAGAGAGAAAGGTGGGACAAGTGAACACAAAAGGAGAGGCGAGAAAGGAGAAGTTGCTTCTGGGCAATGGGCACAGCCGTCTACCTTTTCCGTGCTGAGCACAGGCCGAGCCATTCAGCTCCAATTGTCATTATCATATTGATTAAGTTCATCAGAGAGCAATTTTAGGTTTAACGCCAACGGATTGGGAGAGGGAGCAAAGAATTATCTAAGAAAAGCACAACATTCTTACCTCAGGGACGTTTCCCTGTTCCAGTTCATTGAGGGAGTTGATTAAGTTTAAATGAAGCAGACACTGGATAAAAGTAAGGGTATTGACCACTGGGCAGCGCGGTCTGCGCTTGAAAAGGCCTGATACATGCAGAAAAGCAAGATTTGCTAAATGCTCTAATCTTCAATCAAATCTTACATCAATACAGACAAAGTTTGGTAATGAGAGATTCAATGAAGCATGCGGGAGAAAGAATTAATCCTCTTGGTCTAAACTGGGTTCAACTTTGAAGCCTGCTCCGAAGGAAAGACAGTTATCTAAATGCTAAATAAGAAACTTATTGTACTTTTCATGGCATGCTAATCTTTTGTCTATTTCATCTCTATTATTTGTATGCTTATAGGCGGCAGTTGTCATGGTGATTATATCAAACCACTTCTGTGCGGATGGCTGCGAGGGATCGGGGCCTCCCTCCAGCCGTCCGCG